GATGGGGAGGAGTGAGAGAGGGTGTGGGATGGGGAGGAGTGAGAGAGGGTGTGGGATGGGGGGACAGTGTGAGAGGGTGGGATGGGGGGTAGTGTGTAAGGGTGTGAGATGGGGAGGAGTGAGAGAGGGTGTGGGATGGGGAGGAGTGAGAGAGGGTGTGGGATGGGGAGGAGTGTGTGACGGTGTGAGATGAGGGGAGTGTGTATATGGGTGTGGGTTGGGGGGTGGAGAGTGTAAAGGTGTGAGATGGGTGGAGTGTGTGAGGGGTATAGTGCATAAGGGTGTAGAATGGGTAGAGGGGGAGTGTGTAAGGGTGTGGGATGTGTGCAGTGTGTAATATGTGGGGAGTGTGTAAAGGTGTGGGATGGAGGGGGTATGTGTAAGGGTGTAGGATGGAGGGGGTAAGTGTGTAAGGGGGGGGGATTGTCGGGGGGGGGGGGGGGGGGGGGGGGGAGGTGTGTAAGGGTGTGGGCTGGGTGGAGCTCCAGTAGCATGTTGGGGGGGTGAAAACTAGTTCAGGATAGCGTACTGGGGCATCAGGGGTCTTGGCTTAATGGGGGCTGGTCTAGAACAGAGGCTGGGCATTTGGGTTATTGTAAAGGATGGGAAAGAGTTAGTGCAGGAGAAATGGGAGGACATGGGTTGTGGGGATGGAGTGCTGGGTGTGATCGGATGGGCAGGGTTACAGGGAACAAGAGGTGCAGGTAGATAGAGGTTGAGCAGGGAATTGGAGGAGTCAAGGGAAGGATGGAGATGGGAGGACTGAGTCAGGGAGGGGATATGGGGCTTGGAGTCCTGAGACAGAGGGGAGTGATCGGCCAAGCAGTCAGGGGAACGGGGGCAGGCTGGATGGGGACTGATGCGCGGTTTAATAGTGGGTGAACAGTTAAAGCACAGACCTCCTTACCCCAACCTTCAGCCTAGGCCTCTGTCTGGTTCAGGAGTTAATTGATGTGTGAGATTATTTATTTTCCAAAATGGTGATTTGCTAACTCATAGCACCATCCTAAACTACAGCACAATTATTCTCCTCACAATCACTCTCCATCGGTTTTTATACATGGAATTTCAGTCTTGGAATAACGAGCTTTAAGTACTGTGATTGTAATGAAGGGACTTAATCAAATATTTTTGAAATTAAATGAAACAAAAACACTAAAGGAAGAAACAGCATCAGAGATGGGTCAGATGGGGTGTTTAAAATTCAGCTCAGCGTTAAGTAAAACCCTAAGCCTTGTAAAATCATGAGGGGTACAGATAAGGTGAATGGCAGGTGGTCTTTTGCCTAAGAGGAGAAATTTCAAGTCTAGGGACATAATTTTTAAGGTGAGAGAGAGAGAAAGATTTTAAAAAATACACAAGGGGCAACTTTCCTTTTTTGGGCAGAGTGGTTAGTGTGTGGAATGAACTTTCAGAGAAAGTAGTGGATGCAGATACAGTTACAATGTTTAAAACACATTTGGATAAGTACATGAATAGGAAAGGTTTGGAAGGATGTGGGCCAAGTGCAGGCAGGTGCGACTAGTCTACTTTGGAATTTTGGTCAGCATGGACTGGTTGGATCGAAGGGTCTGTTTCCATGCTGTATGACTCCATGACTAAGAATCATAAAGCAGTCAATGGTAATAGGACCATAAGATATTGGAGCAGAATTAGGCCATTCAACCCACGGAGTCTGCTCCACTTTTCAACCAACTACACATTTCACATCAATCTCACTAATGCCAGTGACACTATCTCACTGAAAGCCATAACCTCATATCTCTGGATGTAATCTGCACATTGTACTGAAATGAGCAAAGCAAGTTCAATCCCAGGACGTGTCTGGTGAAGCAATTTGTTATTATGGGCAAATCAGAAATTGCTGTAAAGTCTCAGCAGGTCTGCCAGCATCTTTGAAGAGAAATCAGAGTTAACACTGCAGGTTCAGTGATCCTTCTTCAGAACTACTCTGAGGAAGGATCACTGGACATGAAACTTTAACCCTGCTTTCTCTCACAGATGCTGGCAGACCTGCTGAGTTTCTCCAGCAATTTCAATTTTGTTTCAAATTCAGATTCAGTAAGTTTGCAGATGACACCAAAATCAGTGGTGTAGTAGGTAGTGAAGAAGGTTACCTTAATGGGACTTTGACCAAATGGGCCAAAGATTGGCAGCTGGTGTTTAATTTAGATAAATGTGAGGTGCTGCATTTTGGAAAGGCAAATCAGAGCAGGACTTACACACTTAATAGTAGGGCCCTGGGGAATGTTGCCAAACAAAGAGACCTTGGGATGCAGGTTCACAACTCCTTGAAATTTGGAGTTGCAGGTAGACAGGGTGGCATTTGGTGTGCTTGCTTTCAGTGCATGTTACAGCTATACACGACATTGATTAGGCCACTTTTGGAATACTGTGTTCAGTTCTTGTCTCCCTGCTATAGGAAAGACATTGTTAACCTTGAAAGGGTGCAGAAAAGATTTACAAGGATGTTGCCAGGGTTGGAGGGTTTGAGCTGTAGGGAAAGGCTGAATAGGCTGGGGCTATTTTCCCTGGAGCATCGGAAGCTGAAGCGTAACCTTATAGAGGTTTACAAAACCATGAGGAGCATGGATAGGGTGAATAGACAAGGTCTTTTTCCCAGGATAGGGGAGTCCAAAACTAGAGGGGCATAGGTTTAAGGTGAGAGGGGAAAGATATGAAAGGGACCGGAGAAGCAATTTTTTTGCATGGGGTGGTGCGTGTATGGAATGAGCTGGCAGAGGAAGTGGTAGGGGCTGGTACGATTACAACATTTAAAAGGCATCTGGCTGGGTATATGATTAGTGAGGGTTTGGAGGGATATGGGCCAAATGGAACTAGATTAACTTAAGATGTCTGGTCAGCACCAATGAGTTGGACTGAAGGGTCTGTTTCTGTGCTGCACAACTCCTTGACTTCTGATTTTCAGCATTCTTCTGTCATTGAGGCTGTTTATTTGCTTGTTGGGAGGCTCCACGAGTGCAGAAAAGCATCTGGTAAATGGGAATACAAAACCACAACACCGCATTTTCCTGTACTGACGGCTTTTATTAAAAAAAAATGTATATTAACAGAAATGTAGAAGTATAACAAGAAAAATGTGTTAAAAACAAGCTGAGAAGCCTGTGATTTACAGTGTTGACGTACTATGTGTAACTTACATGTCAGGCTATGTACTGACTTGAATGAGGCTTTTTGTTTCTGAAATGAGTTGAGAGGCTGCACCCTTAACGGCTGGTCATTGAATGAGTCACTCCCCAAACTTTTGTTCACTGTAACCACATTGCGAAGAAAATCATCTTCATGCAGGCTATAGTCTGTGACAGTGAATACTGAATCTCATTTTAAAAAAAGAAACAGTTGAACTTGGAGAGTGACCTCATTTTTAACTCGGAAAAAGCAGAAGCCAATCTGTGCTCCTTACGATCGCTTACCAGAGCCAGGCTACGCTCCCAGTTCAGTGCGTGGTCCTTGCAAGGGATAAGGAGAAATAAGTGTGCCGAAGTGTGCACTGCTGTTCAAAGGTTGGCCCTCTGACAATTCCTTCAGGTCTCTCCCTGGTTTGTCCAGGAAAAGGCTGACCAGGATTGAGGAAGAGGAAAGGCTGAGGGCTGCCCTCCCTCAGTGAGAATCCCACATGATCAACAGATAGCCCTGGCACCGCCTCACGTTCCCCGGTCTCACTGCGCCTTCACGCCCTGTGCCTTCTTCAGTTTCTTTTCTTTCCACCACAGTTTCCGATTCGCTCTCTTCCCTTTATTCTTCTTCTTCTTCGGCACCACCCCTTCGGTTCCAGTGTGTTGGGCTGGTGGGCGATGACTCCTTGTTTCCATAGTAACCGTCTTATTTCGAGCAGGAATGCCTCTGTTTGCTTTGACCACACCCATCTGGAAATGAGAAACCAGACAGATTTTCATGTAACTCATTATCACAACACAGTGTGTGCAGTTCTCACAGAATATTACATTGTTTTAACACAACCTCAGACCGGGGAAAGCCTGCCTAACACAGAGAGCTGTTCATTTTTATTCCAAGACAAATTTAACCATTTTAGGGCTCCTAATATATTGTATCATGCATCACAAGTAAAAGCTCCCCAACACAGCAACTGGAAGGCTATCTATTTGTAGTCTGGGTTTGGGCAAGAACGTCATCTGAGACAAGACAGGGCAACACCACTGTCTAACGTAGCCATATCTCGTAAATGACGGAACTGCTGGAAGCCAAGCGCTGAAGGAATGAGGCAGATCAGTATTTCACAACTGACTTCTTTTGTTATCATGTTGTGGCAACTAGTGAACTCTTCTACCATTAGACCACAGGAGCAGAAATAGGCCATTCAGCCCATCGGGTCTGCACTGCCATTCAACAAGCTCATGGTTGATCTGATAATGCTTGACTCCACTTTCCTGCCTTTCCCCTATAACCCTTGATTCCCTTCCTGATTAAAATTCTTGTCTGCCTCACCCTTGAATATACAATCAGAATCCCTACAGTGCGGAAAGAGGCCAGTCGGCCCATCGAGTCTGTATCGACCCTCTGAAGAGCATCCCGCCCTGAAACCCTGCATTTCCCATAGCTAATTCAACTAGCCTTCATATCCCTGGACACTATGGACAATTTACCAAGCCCAATCCACCTAACCTGCACATTGTTGGACTGGCGGGGAAACCAGAGCACCCGGAGGAAGCTCACGCAAACAGAGGGAGAATGTGCAGACTCCCAGGTTGGGATTGAACCCGGGTTCCTGGTGCTGTGAGGCAGCAGTGCTAACCACTGAGCCATCGAGCCACCCCATAGAGTGCTGTGTATAGTTAATGACCCACTCTCTGCACTAAAGAATTCCACAGATTCATTACCCTCAGAGAAGAAATTTCTCATCTCTGAGCCTCCTCATGGAGATTATGTCCTCTGGACTTAGACTCATCCACAGAGGAAACAACCTTCCAAAGCCTACCCTGTCAAGTCTCCTAATAGTCCTGTACATTTCAATAAAGGTCACCTAACATTCCTCTAAATTCTGTTGAGGCTCAACCTACTCAACCTCTCAAAAGCAGAAATTGCTGGAGAAACTCAGCAGGTCTGTGGTGAGAAAACAGAGTTAATGATTCAAGTTCAGTTCTGAAGAAGTCACTAGACTTGAAACATTATGTTTCCTCTGCACAGACCCAGCCAGACCTGCCAAGTTTCTCCAACAATTTCTGTTTTAGTTCTCCAGCATCTGCAGTTCTGTTTTGTTTTACTACACAACTTCTCCTGAGAAGACAGTCCCTCCATACTAGGTTATCAATCGAGTAAACCTTCTCTGGACTGTCTCCAATGTCAGTGTATCTTGCTTCAGATGAAGGGCCCAAAAATGTTCATAGTTTTTCAGCTGTGGCTTGATTTTTGCTAAAGCTCCACAAGGCATTACTTTTCTACTTTTGTACACCATTCCTTTTGGAACAAAGGCCAATATTCTATTCATCTTCCTTATCACCCACTTAACTTGGATGCTACTTTTTCTTCGTGATTCATGGGCGACAACTCCCAAATCGCCATCTACAGCTTTCTGTTGTCTTGTCCCATTTAAATAATGTTCAACTCCTCTCTTACTCCTGTCAAATTGCAAAACCTCACATTTCTCCACATTATATTGCATTTGATAGCCAACTCTGATCTCTAATACAGTTTCAGAGTTTACAACTCTAGTTAACAACCAGCTCAGCAGCTTTAATCTAGTAAAGCATCCCAAGACTTTGCACTGGGACGTTACCTCATAAAACTAACACCAAACCACATCAGGAAATGTTAGGATAGGTGATAAAAAGCTCAATTGAAGCAGCAGCTTAAAGACAGCAAAGTACAATAAGGGGGTGAGAATTTTGAATTGAAGGACCTAATGAAGTCTTAGTTTTTAGTTATTCCAATTCTATCTGGGATAGCCTTGCAACGTCAGGGCGAACACAACATGTACCGAGAATGACAAACTTGTGTCAAAAAATGCAGCTGAAACAGAGCCCACATATTCTTTAGAAAGGGGATTAGCGAGTACCTTGAAACAGGAATGTTAAAGGATTCAGGGAACAAATTTAGATTATCCAATGTTCACACAAAAATACAATCGATGCGCTGGTAGTCATCCTTTGAGAATCCTTAGCTTTGGGAGAAATCCTGAGACAATCAGAAAATTGTCAAGCTTATTCGAAAAGGTAAGGACACAAAAGACAGATAACTCTGAGACAGTTAGATTAAAATTGAAATTGGGAAAATGTTAGAAACTATTACAAAGAATGGTTTGGCAGAGCACTTAGAAATATCGAATATAATCAGCACGGCTTCATGAAAGACAAACTAGGCCTGAAAAGCTCATTAGAATTTTTTAAGGAAGTAACAAGCAATATAGACAGAGGGAGAATCAGTAGATACAATATATATGAATTTTCAAAAGGTGCTCGATAAGGTACCTCTATGAAGCTACTCCATGAGACAGGAGTCCGCAATGTGAGACAGTAAAATAGCACAGAAACAGCACTGGGCTATCTAATAGAAAAGAGAGTTGGGAGAGGTGGAGCATTTTCAGAACGGCAACCTGTGATAAATGGAGTGCTAGAGGGATTGTGCTGGGACTACAATTATTCATATTACATGTCAAGATTTTGATGAGGGAAGTGAACGTTCTGTTGTCAAGTGTGAAGATGACACAAAAATAGATGGGAAGGCAAGTGGTTTGCATGACATAAAGGGATATAGATCTATTAAGTGAGAGGGAAAAAACTTGGCATTTGGGATACCTTATGGGAAAATGTGAGGTTATTAACTTTGGCAGAAAGAATAGAAAAGGTCATAAGAAATAGGAACAGGAGTAGACTGTTTTGCCCCTCGAACCTGCTTCACTATTTATTAGAATTATGGCTAATCCGACATTACTCCTGTCTACTTTCCTGCCCTTTCTCCGTAACCCTTGATTCCCTGACTGATCAAGAATCTACCTATCTCAAACTTAAATGTAAACAAGGACTCCTCCCCCACTGCTCTCTGTGGGAAGGAGTTCCAAAGCTGTCAACCCTCAGAGAAGAAATTCCTTCTCATCTCAGTCTTAAATTGGCACCCCTTTATTCTGAGACTATGCCCTCTGGTCCTAGACACTTCCAGGAGATGAAACATCATCTTAGCATTAACCCTGCCAATCCTCTTAAGAATTCTATGTTTCAATGAGATCATCTCTCATTCTTCCAAACTCCAGTGAGTATAGTTCCAATCTGTTTAGCCTTTGCTCATCAGACAATCCGTCCATACTGGGGATCATCCTAATGACCGTTCTCTGAACTGCCTCCAATGAACTAATATCTTTCCTTTGATAAGGGGACTAAAACTGCTCCAGTATTCCAGATACGGTCTCACCAGCACCTTGTACATTTACAGTAAGGCTTCCCCACTGTTATAGTCCAATCCCCTTGTAAAAAGGGCCAACGTTCCATTAGCCTTCCTGATAACCTGCTGCCCCCGTGTGCTAGCTTTCTGTGTTTCCTGCACAAGTATAAAAGTCCCTGTGTTGCAGCTTTCTGCAGTTTCACTCCATTCAAATGATATTGTTCTTTTGTTCTCCCTTCCAAAATGAACAGCTTTGCATCTTTCTACATATTACTCCATTTGCCAACTTCCTGCCTATTTACTTAACCTGAAGTTAAGTGGAATATTATTTAAATGGGGACGAAAATTGCAGAAAGCTACAGCACAGAAGGATCTGGGGGTCTTTATGCACGTATCATAAAAAGCTAACACCCAACTTCAGTAGGTATTAGGGAAGGCAAATGCAATGTTGGCCTTTATTTCAAAGATAACAGATTATAAAATTAGAGAGGTTTTACTAAAACTATACAGGGCACTAAACAGACCATACCTAGAACACTGTGAACAGTTTTTGGCCCCTTAACTAAGTAAAGATTTACTGGCATTGGAGGCAATCCAGGAAAGGTACACCAGGTTGATCTTGGCTATAGAGATATTTTCTTATGAGGACACATGGAGTAGGTTGGGCCTGTACTCAGTCGAGTTTAGAAGAATGAGAGGTGACCTTATTGAAACATCAAGATCCTTAGGGAGGTTTGATAAGGTAGATGCTGAGAGGTATTTCCCCTGTGGGACAGTCTACAGCCAGGGGGCATGATCCCAGAGTAAGGGCTTGCATATTTAAGACAGAGATGAGGAGGAAATTTTTTTTTCCCCCTCAGAGTTCTGAATCTGTGGAATTCTTTACCACAGAGGGCTGTAGAGGCTGAGTGGTGGAACGTATATTCAAGGCAGAGATAGACAGATTTTTACATCAGTAAAAGGGCTGTGGAGAAAAGGCAGGAAAGTGGAGTTAGGAATCATCAGACCAGCCACGATCTCACTAAATGGCACAGCACACTCGATGGGCCAAATGGCCTACTTCTGCTTGTATCAGCTTGGGTATTAAGACCAGAAACCATGCTGAAAAATAAAAATCAAACCCTATCCACAGACGTTTGGTATCCAGGTTCTAATTATTAACGGGGTTTGGTGACTGCAAAGTCCAGAGAGATTTTTAAAGGGTCTACAGATAATTAGAACATCCGCTTTAATGGCACAACTGACTCCCACAATGCATTTGTAACTGGAATATGGCTGGATCTTAATTTGCAGTCGTCGGGATAGGGTGGGACAGTGATTTTAGACTGAGAGATGATAACATGGATAAGCCTAGTGCTGATTGGTTGAATTGAAAGAAGCATGCCTGTCCATGACTCAATGCTTATCAAGTGTGAGTTATCTTAAGTCCAGTCCATGAACAATTTCGGGCTTCCACTACCACAGAGATTGATTAAGCAGTCTGCGGACACCAGACTAACAAAGGATCTAATTAATTCCAAAGGCTCTGAAAGTA